GTAAGGCTATATGGTCACGAATCTTTTCCTGAATTACATTAATTAACGATACTGATTAGCTAATCGTTAGTGCATTCAAAAGACTATCTCACTATAAACATGTTTAAATGTGTTCACAGTGTAAGACTACTAGTTATATATTCCGAGAAAATCAATCATATCGATAATTTTCAGACGTCCAAGAATTTTTTCCCCCTCAGTGACTTGTTTGTAAATGGATTTCCCCTCTAATGTTCATAAGCTTCCATTTACATTTGTATTTACATACAACTGATGAATATGAATTATTCATTGTCATCGAGTTATTAAGACCCACGGAAACACCGGTGATTTCTTCATTATGAGAGATACCGCTATGCTGACTTTTGCATGCACCTACCGTATAGATCTTGATACAGAGTTCGGACCCCTTTGTACGTTTTATTCAATGTTTAAATACACTAACATTTGTTTTTACGAGACTTTTTAAATTTTTAGGGAATTATCCAGAAATTGTTTTAGTTAAAACTCCGTTTATTGTTGTGGATGTTAAGTTTGCATGATAGTTATGTTTAAAAATGCATAAAATTTCAGAACGTCTTTCATATGAAGTATAGCACTTCTTAGGCGCGTGCCATCTCGACGAATTTTTGAATGTGTTTCAAAACTTTCAGATATTTATTTAAGTATTGACAACTGCATTTCAATATTCTTATTTGTGTTCATTGCTTTTCTGTCGGACATTGATGTGTGCCTTTTTTATAAATACAATCTACACCTAGCGACAAGTATTGACAATGTTTAAATGTTTTAAATCTGAACAAACAGAATTTAAAATGAAAAGTGAGAGTATTTGAGGGTAGCAGCACGCTTGTAAAGGAGGGAATTTACTTCATGTTATTACATATATATAAATTTAAGAATCCATCCCATTGATAAGACAACTCTGATAAGTAAAATCAACTCGAAAACTGTGAATGGGTGACCCCTGAACTTTAAGAATCCTATTGTTCAGCCTATACTGAATAATTGAGCATAGGTGTAATATGGTTATATGATATCCAGTCAGAAAATCGAGAAAATACATGTACAAGGTTATTTATCTTCATAAAAAAAATATTCGTTTGAAAAAAGATATCTTGTTTTAATGTACGTTACCAATAAAGAAAAAGGCCATGTATCTAAATGAAGAATTACCGTGTATTTGACCGAAATCGGATATAGTTTATATCTATCATAGAATCTGAGGGTTATTTAGCCAAATCAGCACTCGGGAAAGCCATAAATTACTTTACCTCAATAGAAGGAAAATAAGGATAAGCATTCATCTTCTCCACAAATAAATTGAACTTATTGGATAAATTTGTCAAGACAGAGACAGATTTATATGCATGCTACCATACAGTTTTCTCTAATAAGACAGATAATTAATTTTCCTATTCGCAGATCATCGCGTATATTTTAGTCAAGAACATGCCAGTTTTCATTGAGCAGGTAACGACATGCAGTAAGCATATTTCGTCCTGTTACAAAAATATCAAATTTCTTTTACAAAATCTCAAAAGCGACAGAAAAATCTTTAAGGAAATTTCATCTATAATGAAATAAGAAATGGCGTGAGTTATTTTTCCATAAATAAAGTACTTTTTACGCTGAATCTAACATCTGAGTTTTGGGTGCGCGCTTCAGCAATTTCGTCTTGAAAGGTTAATATCTATTGATTACAAGCAACAAGTCTTAATTTCTCAGTTTCAAGGAGACCTTCAAAGGCAAACACGCTATGCAACATGAAAGTGTTGTTATAAATCTTACTCAATCCTTTCATGTTCAAACCATTTTTTTTCTTTTCACAATTACAGATTATGCACTTCTTGATTAAAACTGGTGATTGTAGTCATATATTATTTTTCCAACAATCGATCATTGTCGTGTAGTTCATTGCTGTAAATAATGCAGTATTTTCTAGCTCATTGCATCCACGCAAATATACACCGTTTACTGTGTAACCTATGATACATTGGTTACATTTAGTCTGAAATTGCCAATTTAGGCAGAACAGGATAATCTATGTTGATTTAGCAAGACTTTCATTTATTGTAAGAAACGGTATTGTGTTGACGTCTATTTCGATCAATTTTATAATTAAAAAAAATAAAGATTTATTCTCTGGTCTTTGTTAAGAATTAAAAGAATGTTGTTGCTCGTGTTGTTGAAATTTATTACACGATACAGAAGTATATTGAACATACAGGCACGTAGAACGCGGGGGGGGGGGGGGGGCAGAGGGACCCGCCCCCACTTTTTGATTATAGTATTTTGCTTTTCTTTAGATGCTTGTTGGCACCCCTCCCCACATTTTTGTTGCTGCAAGGTCGAGCACTGGCAAATTCCAGGATTTGGACAGTTAATTAGATTTTTTCTTTTTGTTTGTCAGAATTTTTTGGGAAGTTTGCCCCCTCCCCCTACACTTTTGAAACCGTTGCTTCGGGTCTGACATACATAGTTGCATATACGCGTTTGTTTTCTTTGAGTTAAAAGTATGAGAAAAAGAAAAGAAAAACAATTTTGTTATTGCAAGCAATATCACTTGTCATCCCGAACTGATCCCATGGATGTAATACTGGAGTTGAAAGCAGAGTAAGCAACTAATTTTCAGAAGTTCTGACAAAATTTCAATTTTCAGAAAATTTTCCATATTTGTTTCCACAACAACGAGAGCTATTTTGGGAAATTTAAAGCAATATGAGCTGCAACTTTGATGTCAGAAATTTTTGTTGCAGAATTGTAATTATCCATTTCAATGACAGAAAAAAGAATGTTTATAAACTTCTGTTGTTCATATTTACAACGGAAGAACTTTTTATAAGCTTTTTTGAAGCAAAATTACATTATTGTCGTCCTGAACAAGGTTGATTTCTTATATACAATACATGACCTATTTATTTGATTGTATAGAATCCTTTATTCTGAAACAATTTGATACTTTATTTCTGTCTAATTGATCAAAAAGGTTTAAATTACATACAAATTTATCATAATAACACATTTTAACAGCAAAATAAAATTCTCAAAAATGCAGCTCATACTGCTCTAAACCCCAGAGACTTTGAGAGACACTAACACATCAATACTAAGCAGTTTGAAATAGTATGAAATTAAAAAGAAATTTTTCTCTTGTAGCCATGGCAACAGTGAAAAAATTTGTACCGATTTCATTTTTTTTTTTTTTTGGCAGAAATCAGTTTGACTTGGTGCGAGGAAAGATCGTTTTATGTATAAAAACCATTGGCTGGCCAGTTACTGAGAGAAATGAGATTTAATTTTCATATTTCACTTGTTTCAATGGCAAAGGTTGCCATTTTGAAAATTTTAAATGTTAAATGCACCACTTGACGATTATCATTTCTGTAAAGTTTTTTTCTATTAAGATTGACTAAGCTATCTGCAGACAAAATTTTAGGTGGAACAGTAACAACTAATAAGTTGCACCTCATTTCGTTCGGTTGACAAAAGACATTGATAAACAGCAGCCCCGAAACAAAAAATAAAAATGTAAAAAATAAATAAATAAAAGAGAGAAAACAAAGATCCAAAAAATTTATTGAAACATTCTTATAACATCAGGGATCCCGAGTTCACTCGTGGCCGTGGGACCCCTGAAAACTACATTCATTTTTAGCTCACCTGAGCCGAAGGCTCAAGTGAGCTTTTCTAATCGAAATTTGTTCGTTGTCTGTCTTCGTTGTCGTCGTAGGCGTTGTCGTAAACTTTTCACATTTTCATCTTCTTCCCAAGAATCACTGGGCCAATTTCAACCAAACTCGCCACAAAGTATCCTTAGGTAAAGTGGATACAAGTTTGTTCAAATGAAGAGCCAAGCCTTCTTCCAAGGGGAGATAATTATGAATTCGTGAAAAAATCTTCCTCTCAAGAACCACTGTACTTGAAAATATTAACTTATGTGGAATCATTGTGAGGTAGTGTAGATTCAAGTTTGCTTAAATCATGACCCCGGGTGTAGGAAGGGGCCATAGGAATAGAATACCAAGGAAAAAAACTTTGAAAATTTTCTTCTTAAGAACAGCAAAGTCATGATTGGCCATATTTATATGGAAGTATCCTCAGGTAGTGAAGTTTTAATTTTGTTCAAATCATGACCCCGGGGGTAGGCTGGGCCACAATGGATGATCAAAGTTTTACCTAAGAATACACAGGAAAAAAATCTTCTCAAAAACAGCAAAGCCATGATTGGTCATATTTATATGGAAGCATCCTCAGGTAGTGTAGATTTAATTAAGTTCAAATCATGACCCCGGGGAAGGGTGGGGCCACAGTGGATGATCAAAGTTTTACATGGGAATACACAGGGAAAAATTTAAAAATCTTCTCAAGTTCTCAAGTAGCAAAGCCATGATTGATCATAATAATATTAAAACATCCTCAGGTAATGTAGATTAAATTTGTTCAAATCATGACTCCCAGGAGAATAGAGGGGCCATAACAGGGAATCATAGTTATACAAAGGAATATAAAGGATATATCAATAACAATTTTCTTCTTAAGAACAGCAAAGCCATTCTGTGTCATATTAATTCAAAAGCATCCTTAGGAAGTGTAGATTTAAGTTAGTTCAAATTATACCCCCTCTCCGGAACCACATTTATATTTAAACCTTTCAAGAGTGAACTGATTTTTTTGTTTTTTTTTCCTAGCCAAAGTGCTCAAGTGAGCGATGTGGCCCCTGAACCTCTACTTATAAACTGGCTGCAACGACGTCTTTCGAGGGATTGCATATCCTGATTGTTTTTCTTATCTTTCGATCAATAGCAATAAGCCTTTTGGTGACAAACAACTTGTTATACAGTACATTGATGTGCCAACTGCTTCCTTTACTATTTATATTTTATTTCAACTTATGAAAGCCCTAATTTGATTGGTGCTTCTCAATGAAAAATGCTGGTCCGAAAAAAGAATCAGGTATTTCAGGGGTACAATGACCACAAGTAGACTCAGGAACCCTG